ATAGACGGAGCCACCGGAGCTGATTACTCCGTGTATATAAGCGCTTTCTATTGCGTGTACCGGATACACGGAGTAATAGGCGCCAACGAAGTAACATGCGCTGACTATTCCGTGTATCGGTGACACGGAGTAACCGGAACTTATCATTCCGTGCCCCCCGAGTAATAGGCGCTCATTATTCCGTGTATCGGATACACGGAGCGATGGGAGCCCATTTTTCCGTTTGTACGGAGTAATCGGTTTTTCTATTCATTGTATCGGATACACGGAGTAATAGGAGCTTATTATTCCGTGTATACGGAGTAAGAGACGTTTACTATTCCGTGTATCGGATACACGGAGTAGTAGGGGTTTGTTCAGCCGTGTATACGGAATAATGGGCGCCTAGTATTCCGTGTATCGGCACGGACTGATAGGAGTTTATTATCCCGTGTATCCAGAGTATTAAGCGTTGTGCTGTCCGTGTATCGGGCACACGGAGCAATACGGGCTTATTTTTCCGTGGATACGGAGTGACTGGCGCTTTTGTTCCCGGCAAATGACTCCGTGTATACGGAATAATAGGCGCCTATTATTCTGTGTATCGGACTCACGGAGTAATAGGAGCCTAGATATCCGTGCGTACGGAGTAACAAGCATTTGCGATTCCGTGTATTGGATACATGGAAGAATAGGAACCGAGTATTCCGTGTATACGGAATCATGGGCGCTTATTATTCCGTGTAGAGGCTACACGGAGCAACACGAGCGCATTTGTCCATGCCTATAGAGTAATAGGCACCCACTACCCCGTGTATCGGATACACGGTAAAAACAAATTGCTACGCCGTGTATACGGAGTAATTGGCGTGTATTATTCCGTGAATCGAATACACGGAGTAATAGGAGCTCAGTATTCCGTGTACACGGAACGACTGGCGTTTAGTATTCCGTGTATCGGAGACACGGACTCAACCACATATTAATATGTGTATACGGAGAACTGGCGCCAGCCATTCCGTGTATCGGATACACGCACTCACCGGAGCCTATTACTCCGCGTTTACGGAGTTATCGGCGCTTTCTATCCCGTGTACCGGATATTCGGATGAATCTGGGTTTTTTACCCCGTGTATACGGAGTAATAGGCGCGTACCATTCCGTGTATCGGATACACGGAGTACTATGAGCCCATTGGTCTGCGCATACGGAGTAATAGGCGCTTACTATTCCGTGTATCGGATACACAGAGCAATCGGAACCTGTCACTCCGCATATACGGAGTAATTACCCCGCGTATTGTATACACGGAGTAATAGGGGCCGATTATTCCGTACATGCCGAGTAATAGGCGCGTACTATTCAGTGTATCGGACACAAGGAGTAATAAGGGCGTATTACTCCGTCTATACGGAATCATAGGCGCATACTATTCAGAGTATTGGGTACGCGGAGTCATAAGGGGCATCGTTTTCCGCGTGTACGGAGTAATGAGCGCCTGAGCTGCCTACTATTCCGTGTACCGTATACACGGACTAATACAGGCCACGTATTCCGTGCAGCATTCGGTGTATCGGATACATTCAGCAATCGGAGCCCGTTGCTCCGTGCATACGGAGCCATAGGCGCCAACTATTCCGTGTATCCGACATACGGAGTAATAGGAGCCGGTTATTCCGTACATACGGAGTCAAGGGCGCTTATCATTCCGCGTATCGGATACATTGAAAAATAAGGGTGTGCTATTTCGCGCATACAAAGTAGCATGCGTCCACTATTCTGTGTATCGGAAACACGGAGTAATATGAGCCTAGTATACGGAGTAATAGTCGTTCAATCATGCGTTTTACGGATACACATTTAATATGGGCGTATTATTCCGTGTATATGGAGTACTTGGCGCCGCGTATTCCGTGTATGAGATACAGGGTGCAACTGGAGTTTATTATTCGGTGTGTACGGAGTAAGGGGCGATTACTATTCTGTGTTTCAGATACACGGAGTGGTAGTGGCTGATTACTTCGTGTATGCGGATACACAGAGTAATAGGGGCCCATTACTCCGTGTATACGGAGTACGAGGCTCCAACTACTCCGTGTATCGGATACACGGAGTAATAGGAGCCTAGTATTCCGTGTATACGGAGCAACAGGCGTCAATTATTCCGTGTAACTGATCTACGGAGTTATAGATTTTTATTGTTCCGTGTGCTTATACGGGGTAATACGCGCTTACGATTCCGTGTATCGAATACACGGATCAATAAGAGCCTATTACGCAGTGTATACGGAGTTGTAGGCGTTTTTTTTGTTCCGTTGGTCGGACACCCGAAATTATAGCGTTCGATTGCTCCGTGTATACGGAGTAATGAGCGCGTACAATTCCGCGTGTTGGATACATGGAGTAATCGAGATGTATCATTCCGTCTATACAGAAGAACGGGCGCCAATTATTCCGTATATCGGATGCACGGAGGGGCCCAGTATATTGCGTATACGGAATAATGGGCGCCTGAGTAATATGGGCTTAGTTCCGTGTGCCGGATACATGGAGTAATAGCGGCCTATTACTACTTGTATCGGATACAAAAAGTAATCAAGTTTTAGCATTACGTGTATACCGTTGCCACGGGGCGTCGCCACTTTGTTGTTGAATCTTAACTATTGAAGTATCATTATTGTTGATCCCCCCTTCCAGTGACTATTGTGTTTTTCCCATTGAAGTGCGCCCCCCAGGGCTCGCACCTTGTTTCTTTGTCAGGGAAAGACATCCGCCTCAAACTGGGCCCTTGGCCCCCGAGTTACAGCAACAACGGCTCCCGCCTGATATTTTCCCACAAGTTATTCCCAAATCGCGCTCTCGCGCGGGACTTCCTCAAAGTTAATGTGCGCATCGCGCCCTCGCGTGGGGACTTCTTCGCAATTTGTTCAGACGATGCGCCCTCGGCGCTCAGGAATCACGCTCTCGCTTTGGCTTCTCTCACGATTTACTTGGGAATCGCGCTATCGCTCGAGACTTCCTCGCGATTCGTGCAGGACCCACGCTTCAGCAACCCGCCTGCTCGACCTCGTCGCCTGGGCCCGCCTTCCCGACCTGCCCGTTATGGGTCTGCCCACCCGATTTGCCCGTCTGGTTCTACCAGTTGTTTTCTGTTCCTTGTCCTCCTCCTGCTAATTTCTCTCGTTTTCCATTCTCCTCCCTCCCCCTTCCATCCGTCCTTTCTTCCCTTGTTTTAGGGGCTGCACCTAATACGCGTGGCAGGTAAAGAATATATACCCCCAAGGGGGTACGATCGAAGACGACGAGGGCGGATACCGAGGGTTCGGAATATACGTATTGATTGGCACGTGAGCAGATAGGAGCGACCAGTCTTAAAATGATTGCTGTTGTTGTGGTTGTTGTGGTTGTTGCTTCTTGTTGTTGTTGTTGGTGGTGTTGCTGTTGTTCTTGTTGTTGTTATTGGTGTTGTTGTGGTTGGTGTTGCTGTTGTTGTTGCTGTTGCTGTTTGTTGTCGTCGTCCCCGCGCGACCCACCCGCGACCCACCCGCGACCCACCCCGCGACCCACCGCAACCCACCCCGCGACCCACCCGCGACCCAACCCGCGACCCAACCCGCGGCCCACCCCGCGACCCACCCGCGACCCACCCGCGACCCACCCGTGACCCACCCCGCGACCCACCCGCGACCCAATTCGCGACCCATTCGCGACCCACCCGCGACCAACCCGCGACCCAATTCGCGACCCACCCGCGACCCAACCCGTGACCCACCCGCGACCGATCCACATTGGTTTGAAGAAAAATCGGCGGTTGCGACGGGCTCGTTTATAATTTGTGAAATTGTGGCGCTTGCGGCGGGTTTCTCCAGAGTCTCGCAAACTACCGTCGTCCCCACCGCCCCATCATTATTATCCGCATCTGCGGGGTGCTACGTATTTGACCTCTTTCTCTTATCTTCAGGTTATGTTGAATCTCTTCGCCACTTGCAGATCATAATCACCTTCTTCACCCCGTCCACGACCAGGTGAGCACATACTTCACGCCCTTGCGGGTCGTGGTTATTTTCCTTTACTTTTGTGTTGTTGGTGTTTCCCCTGCTGCGCTCGCCAAGGTGTAGTTTGTTGGCCACGGCGCCTAAGTCGATCGTTTTTTTCCACTAAGCCGCCAGTTTACCGTGCACACTTTACGATCTCAATCGATGCAAGTTTGCCCAACGTGAACATGAAGAGGATGAGAAAAGGTGCTAATGGGGAAGGGGAGTGTGGAAGAGGGAAGACGAGGTTGGTGGAGCAGGAGAAGGATGAGGAGGATAAGGACGGCTCCGCATGACGACCAGGACGGTGCCAGGAGGAGGGGTGCCTTTTTTTCTCCTGCCCGTCCACTTCCTTTCCCCCCTAGTTTTCTCAGGTATGTTATTGTCCCGCTCTCTCTCTCTCTCTCTCTCTCTCACTCTCTCGCTGTCTCTCTCTCTCTCTCTTTCTCGTCTGTCTCTCTCTCTCTCTCTCTTTCTTCTCTGCTCCCTCTCTCATGATGCCCTCGAACCCCGCCTGCCCCCCCCACCTCCGCCTTTTCAGGGCGATCGTGCCTCTGTCCTATGCGCTTTCGCAATCCCCTCTCCGCTTCGTTCTCGTCCTCGCTTTCCTCCCGGATGGGGAGCACGACGAGGAAGAGGATTGGGGAGGAGGATCGCGGGAACAGGGGCGAGCGTCGTTTAACGACGTGCGCCCCTTTTCCCGCGATCCTCCCCCACCTCTTTGGTGACGAGGACGAGGACGAGGAGGAGGAGGAGGAGGAGTAGGAGGACGACGACGATGACGATGACGACGACGACGACGACGACGACGACGACGACGACGACGACGACGACGACGACGACGACGACGACGACGACGACGACGAAGACGACGACGACGACGACGACGACGACGACGACGACGACGACGAGGACGTCGACGAGGACGCTGCCCTCATTCGCCGCAGCCCTGCCCAGCGCGCCGCGTCGCCCCTTTTGCTCGCGCAGGTCACTCTTCCGTTCGACTGCCGGGCGGACTACGACCAGTGGCAGGACGCTTGGGAGGACGACAAGAAGGACGGCCGGGGGCGCGGCGGGCGCCAGAAAGTTGACGCCGCGACGAGGTGGCCACAAAAAGATTTCGTTTGCGAGGACGGCGACGACCACGACGAGAGCGATGTGGGCGATGAGGGGTTGGAGGGGCACGAGGATCTGCATGAGGAAGCGGAGGGGAGTATGTTTCGGAAAATGAAGGACTCTAACAAGGTCGAGGAGGAAATGACGGGTGAGGAGGATGGGGCGGAGACGGAGGTAGAGGGAAGGAGGGAGGAGGAAGAGGAGCAGGAGGAGGAGGAGCAAGGTCAGAAGGAGGAGTGGTGGATAATTTGAGGGGAGGAGCAAAGGGAGGAGAACAAAGGGGAGAAGGAGGTCGAGGAGGAGTAGGAACAAGAGTAGGTGGATGTAGAAATTGCTGTTGAAGTCGAGGGGGGGGATGATTCTTGACGCTCCGCGTGTCCCCACCGGCCCATTTTGGCTGCGCTCTGCTTCCTCGGTGCCTGAGTTCAGACCCCCTGGATGCGCCGTTGCATGATCCTTTCAGGGGCTGCCCTGCAGACTCCCTGGATTTGCACGCCTTGGCTCAGTCGCCCTGGGTCGCTGCTGCCTGCCGCCTGACCGCGGCCCCGCGCGCGCCCGCTCCCTAGTCGCGGCCGCAGCCCGACCGTGACCGCCTGCCGCTGGCGCTTCCGCCTGCGGCTGTAAAAAAAAGTGCCCCCACCGGCCTATCCAGCAGCGATGCCCACGCGACTTGCATTAATCGGGGAAGTGTGGGATCAAACAGTGCAGGAGGAGGGAGGAGGAGGCGGAGGAGGAGGAGGCGGAGGAGGAGGAGGCGGAGGAGGAGGATGAGGAGGAGGGGGAGGATAAGGGGGAAGAGGAGGAGGAGAGAGGAGGAGGAGGAGGAGGAGGAGGAGGAGGAGGAGAGGAGGAGGAGGAGAGGAGGAGGAGGGGAGGAGGAGGAGGAGGAGGGAGGAGGGGGGAGGAGAGGGGGCGGAAAAGGGGAGGAGGAGGGGAGAGGAGGAGGAGGAGGAGGAGGAGGAGGAGAAAAAGCGGGAGGAGCAAAGATGGGGGGCAGCCGTCAAGCCGGAGATCGGAATCAGCCCGGGTAGGACCAGGAGTCAAAGTCTAAGTGTTTTCCCGGATCTGTCGATACGGGCGCCTCTCGGCAGCCTGCTTGGGGGGGGGGGTCTCCTTGGGGCCCTCTTGGGGCCTCTCTTGGGACCCTCTCGGGCGCCCTGGGGACGCTCATGGGGCCGTTTCGGGGGCCATCGATCGAACAAGATGGCGGCGTCAGTTACGCACCCCTCCTCCCTCGGAACCTCGGAGGCTGACAAATTGACTCTTGGGGGCCCTCTTGGGATGCTCTCGGGCCGCTCTTGGGCCGTCGTGGGGCTCTATTGGGTCATCTTGGCGCCATCTTGAGGTCTGAAGAGACCATCCAAAGGAAACAGCGAGAAGATATCGAGAAGGCGAGAAGCGAGTCAGCGAAAGGGAAACTTGATTTCCCACAGGTGCTTGAGGGAGTTTGGCCTCTCGAGGGGATCCTCGGGAGGCTCTGTGGCCTCGGAGCCGTCTTGAGACGGTCGGGGCGCATCTCGGCGCATGTTTCAGGCTATCTAGAGGCATCGCGGGCAGCACGAATTATGTGCTCTTCGACGCATCTTGGGCCCTCTTCTGGCGATCTTGGACCCTCTTGGACGCTCTAACGACCTGCGGCGATCCCCCTCCAGACCCAGGGAGGGGACTAGGGGGAGTGGTAAGCCTCTCCCCGAAGAGGAGAACGAAGGTTTTAATGGCTATCTCCCCAGACCACCTTGGGAGAGGGTGCAGGGTGATCCGGTTTCGGAGGAGATAAAGCACGTGCGATCGTTTGATGATGATCGTGGTGATTGTGATGGTGATTGTGATGGCGATGAGGTTTATGGTGGTTGTGATGGTGATGATGATGGTTAGGGTGGTTGTGGTGGTGGTGGTTATGATGGGTCATGGTGATGATGTCTGGTGGTGGTGATGATTGCATTGACGAGGACGAGGGCGATGACGATGATGACGATTATTATGAGGATGACTATGATGATGATAGCGGTGGTGGTCGTGATACCAATGATACTGATAACGCTAACGGCAATGGTCGTGAGGATAATGGATGATGATGACGTTGATTATGATGACGATGATGATGATGATGATGATGATGATGATAATGACGAGGATGTTCATGATCATGCTGCTGATGACTATGCTGATTATGATGATGTTGATGTTGCTGATGATTATGATGCTGGTGATGCTGGTGACGGCGATAATGGTGATGAGGAGGATGATGATGATACAGATGATGATGATGATGATGATGATGATGATGATGATGATGATGATGATGATGATGATGATGATGATGATGATGATGATGAATGTTATGATGATGATGATGATGCTGATGATGATGATGATGATGATGATGATGATGATGATGATGATGATGATGATGATGATGATGATGATGATGATGAATGTGATGATGAGGCTGCTGCTGATGATGATGGTGGTGGTGTTGCTGCTGATGATGGTGACGATGATGACGTGCCACGTGATGCAGTAGGGTGTGGAGAGCAAAGAGTGCTATGCGTATTGGGTGGGATACGGTGCGAGGAGCAAATGCACACTCTGATGATCGAGGGCCTTGCAAGCACATGTGCTGGCTCGCGGAGTCGAAGAAACGTGACTTTGCATGCCCCCCCCACGGTACGCTCTGGCTTCCCTGCTCTCTTCGTCCCCCTCCTGTTCTTGCCTAGCACGCCGCAGCAGTTTCGGGTCACGCCAGGGACGCGCTCGCCTACCCGCGGGTTGCGGCGCATGGACTCCCCGCTGGAGGTCGGGCGCGCCCAGCTGAAGCTGGCCACCTGCCCTGTTTCGAGGGCAACCGCCGCGCGCGCTGGCATTTCAGGTGTCGCCCCGCGGAGCGCTTGTTCTCTAACCCCGCTGGTTGTTCTTTTCGTCGCTCGAAAGCCCCGCGGCGTCGCTGGCGGCGCTGGTGGCGGCTCCCGCCAGGCGGTCGTCTCGAAAGCAGAAACTTCCGGAGCTCCGCGCGGATTTCTTGGATCGGCGCCTGGGACCCCCTGGCGGCGCCTTTGGCGCCGCCTCTGGCGCGCTCCGCGCGCCCTGGAGAGGAGTACAGCGCGGATCCATGAAGTCCGCACGGAGCACCGACAGCTTTCTGTTTATGCAGTGTTTTGAGTTGCTTAGTTCTCCAGTGTCTGCGCGCACCGCTGTGCACACGCTGCCTGTGGGGTGCAGGGTTCCGTTGGCGGCGCCCCGTCCACAAAGGTCCTGCAGGCGCATGGCGCCCGTTCTTGAGCGTCGCGGAGAGATTCCGCTGGGCCGCGGGCAAGCCCAATGAGGACATGATGTTGGTATTGGGCTTGGACCAGGGGTTCGCGTCCAGGCATACAGACGGCGCGCAGCACCGCCAGCCGATCCAGGGTGACCCGTTGCCAGTAACTAGTTGTCGCCAAATGCCGCTTGCATCACGCTTTCTGGCTCGCGCAGCGAGGAAACGTGGGGAGAGGCGAGCGGATTTACTGGTGGGCATTGGTTGTGCGTGATGGCCATTATTATTGTCAGTATGTTTGCGAGGAGGAGGAAGAGGAGGTAGAGGAGGAGGAGGAGGAGGAGGAGGAGGAGGAGGAAGGAGAGGAGGAGAAGGAGGAGGAGGAGGAATTCGCTAATATCCATTCAGCGGCAGCGGGTCCAGGCGCTAACGACCTCAGGCGACGGCCCACGGAGGACGGCCCCTCGCCTGGCAGTGCCTTCGCCACGAGCATGAACCACCCGCGACGGGCCCTGTCGATCTGGGAGACGACCTTGCCATATCCGCTTAAGGTTTTCGTGGCCGCTCCTGCTGCGGGGCAAAGGGCGCTCTTCTAGGTCCCCGGCTCCCCGTTGGACCACAGAGGGCCACAGAGGGTCGCACAGGAGGAGGAGGAGGGGGAGGAGGAGGAGGAGGGGGGTCCGTAGCCATCGGCTCAGGACTTGGCCTTTGTGGTGAAGGGGATCGGGGGCCCCCACCTCTTTCCCTGTTGCGTCCCGCGCCCGCGCCGCCAGGTTTCCGGTGCCCCGCGTGCGACGTCGGCAGTGCGGTCGTGTTCGACGCGCGGCTATCACAATTTCGGTTCCCGTGCCCGTTGCAGATAGTCAGGTTGAAGTGGCCAGGGGTTCAAGGGTGCGCAGTTTGTGCCCAGCGTGGTTGCACCTTGGCGTATAACTCGTGGCGTGTGGGCTCATCCCTCTCTTCCTGTGTTTTCAGGGGCGCCTCGTCGCAAGGCCGCTGGAAAAAAAAAAAAAAAAAAAAAAAAAAAAAAAAAAAAAAAAAAAAAAAAAAAAAAAAAAAAAAAAAAAAAAAAAGGTAAGGGAAGCAATGGGGGTGGTGTGCAGCTGCTTTGCAGTTCGACGAGTCGCAAGCACAGGTTTGGTTGGACATGTCTGATGAGCAATTCGATGCGGCCGCAGCTGCTTTGTCGCAATCGTTCAGGGATTAAGCAATTGCGATGGAAGCGCGCGCATGGTTTCGAGGGCCTCGTGTCGGTCAAGGAGGCTAAGGTTGCGCAGCAGGCCATCGATTCAAAGGCGGGGGAGCTGCAGAAGGCCAAGTCGGCTTTCGATCGGGCTCGCTCGGCAGTTCAGAAGGCGGTGGAGCAGTTTGCTTCGGCGCGGGCCAAGCTGCAGGCGCGGTGTTCGACGCGGAGCTCAAGCAGATGGTGGAGGAGGCCAAGGCGAAGGCTGCGAGGCAGTCTGTGCCTGCACCCGAGGCGGAGTCGGCGGTCACCGCGGTTTCGAACATGGCGCGGGTGCTCGCCGAGCATCCTGGCGGGGAGACGCAGGTCGGCGCGGCCTTGGCTGCCCCGCTCACGACGTTGCTGCAGGCGCTGGCGTCGCACCGCGTTCAGCCCGCGGCGGTTGCGGCGCAGCCCGCGGGCGCGCAGCCCGTGGCGGCGGTGGGCGAGTCGGTGGGTCTCACGACGGACGCGGGCTCTGCCGACGCGACTGCTGTCGGCGGATCTACACTGCTCACCG